AAGTACAAACACATCATATTTTTTGCATTTTAGATAGGATTTATTCAGCAAAATTTAAGGGTGACGTCATCAATTTTTTTAGGAGGGATGAACAAATACATTTTGAACAAAAGTTTACCATGCTTATAATAACTTTAAAATATTCCCAAGATTTCAAAGCATTCGGTTTTGTAATTCCTGATTAAATCGATAAAATAAATTCACGCCTTCATTAATTTTTTTGAGTCACCCTGCATATGCAAATCCAAAAATATGAATGGAATGATAAATCACAAGTACAGACTCATCATATTTTGTACATTTTAGATACGATTTATTCGGCAAACTTTTGAGCTGACGTCATCAGTTTTTTGTAGAAGATAACCAAATATATTTTGACTAAAAATTTATTATGCTCTTTATAACCTTAAAACATCTGCAAGATTTCAAAGCATTCGGTTTTGTAGTTCCTGATTAAATCAATAAGATAAATTTACGCATTCATTAATTTTTTTGAGTCACCCTGTATATGCAAATCGAAAAAATTTGAATGGAATGATAAATCACAAGAAGAGACTCACCATATTTTGTACATTTTAGATAGGATTTTTTCAGCAAAATTTTGTGGTGGCATCATAAATTTTTTAGGGGGGACGACCAAATACGTTTTGATCAAAAATTTACCATGCTTATGATAATTTTAAAATGTCTTCAAGATTTCGAAGCATTCGGTTTTGTAGTTCCTGAGTAAATCAGTAAAATAAATTTACGCTTTCATTTATTTTCTTGAATCACCCTGTATATGCAAATCCAAAAAATATGAATGGAGTGATAGATCACAAGTACAGACTGATCATATTTTGTACATTTTAGATATGATTTATTCGGCAAATTTTCGAGCTGACGTCATCAAGTTTTTGGAGGGGATAAGCAAATATATTTTGACTAAACATTTATTATGCCCTTTATAACCTTAAAACATCTGCAAGATGTCAGAGCATTCGGTTTTGTAGTTCCTGATTAAATCAATAAAATATATTTACGCATTCATTAATTTTTTTGAGTCACCCTGTATACGCAAATCCAAAAAATATGAATGGAGTGATAAATTACAAGTACAGACTCATCATATTTTTATAGTTTAGATAGGATTTATTCGGCAAACTTTCGAGCTGACGTCATCAATTTTTTGGAGGGGATAAGCAAACATATTTTGACTAAACATTTATTATGTTCGTTATAACCTTAAAACATTTGCAAGATTTTAAAGCATTCGGTTTTGTAGTTCCTGATTAAATCAATAAAATATATTTACGCATTCATTAATTTTTTTGAGTCACCCTGTATATGCAAATCCAAAAAATATGAATGGAGTGATAGATCACAAGTACAGGCTCATCATCTTTTGTACATTTTAGATATGATTTATTCCACAAACTTTTGAGCTGACGTCATCAAGTTTTTGGAGGGGATAAGCAAATATTTTTTGACTAAAGATTTATGATGCTCTTTATAGCCTTAAAACATCTGCAACATTTCAAAGCATTCTGGTTAGCAGATTAAAAATTAAATTTCAAAATGTTGTTTTATAATTTTGATTTTTTTTCCAAAAATCTGGACGTTTCGGGTGAAAAGTCGATTCAGAGTTGTAAACTACATGTGTAGGACTATGTTATTTTATACAATTGAAAACCCATTTACTATGTACAATTTTGAAGTGACGTCATCGCATTAGTGGTGGGGATGATTAGACAAATTTTGGTTAGCGTTTTACCATCTACATGATATTCTTAATATAAGTACAAAATTTCACAACAATCGGTCGAGTACTTTCGGAGATTATCTGTCTAATAAAAATCCGGGACAACAGACGGACAGACGGACAGACGGACAGACGGACGGACAGACAGACGGAAATGGGAGATCTATTTCTTCGTCTTCTAGGGGTCATGAAAGATCGAGAAAACGTAAAAGTAAAGAGTCGGCCGACGGACTCGATTACAATACTTCCTTTGCTTACGCTCGGGAAGTAAAAATTCGAAAAATCCAAAAATCATTAAAAAAAATAAATATTAAGAATTCGAGTAACCTAAAAATTAAGTACAATGACAATTCGAAAAATCGAAAAATCAAAAAATTGAGCATTAAAAAAATCAAAGCATCGAGAACTCGAAAAATTGAATCATCGAGAAACCAAAAAATTGAATTATCGAAAAAAAAAATCGAAAAATTAAACAAATGTTAAAACGAAGAGAATTCGAAAAATTGAAAAATTCTAAACATAGAAAAAATCGATAAAATGAAAAATCTAAACATAGAAAAACTCAAACAACGAGAAATCGGAAACTGCGAAATAAAAAGACGAAGAAATTGAAAAATCGGGACATTGGGAATTCGAAAAATCAAGAAATCGAGAAATTGAAGAATTACACTACACGATCGAGCCTCGCACGGCCGAAACTAGGTGTCGCTCCAACAATTCCTAACACAGATAAACAGAAGGACAGACAGACGGACAGACAGACGACAGACAAACGGAAAGAGGAGACACTTTTTTCGAGCTCTAAGGGTCATGAAACTTCCAGAAAACATGAAACTGGCAAAAACTTGTAAGACGCAGAAGGGAAAACTGTGACGATAAAAAATACACTCGTTTGTTCGTGCAAAACTCTAATAATAAACACTTAGTAGCATACAAATGATTATCAGGTCCTCTAGGTGGTCACGCTCAATCGAAAGCCTCTTCTAAAGTCACTTTGTTGAAAAATCTGTTGAACACACTCAAGATAATCTGGTCGAACATTTGCTCGTAACTTCCTTTAACATCGTCAAAAACCACCTTCCAGTTGTCATTCAAAGCCGTATTAAAAGGACCAACAAAAATTTCCTCAATATGACTATCAAAATTAAAAACTACCAAATCCGGATCAATCGTGAGCGAACTCGACTTAAACCTCGCATACGTTTTGCCCATCTTCTTCGTTTCCTCGTATGAAAAAACGTCCGTGGCATTAACATTCTCTACGAAGACATTTTGTTAGAAAAAACAAAAAACACAAAAAACGTACTCAGAATAATCGTGCTGTTGCCTTTTCCAACAACAGGTACAACCAAAACCTGCCCTTTCAACTCGTAGTCGCACAGCATTTGAATTTCCGGAAACACCCCACTCAGTTTGACCAACTTCTCTTCAAAACTGAACCTACGAAAGGACAAAGTTCGTCCAGGACGAGAACGATCACACACTCACTCGAATTCGTCCAGCTGTAACTTCGGAAATCCGTAAAACTTGCACTTTTTGTATTGTTGTTGTACGTTCACTGGTCCCTCTCTCCCTCTGATGGTGGCTTCCGGGACTTCGAAAGGGTCGAAACTGGGGATAGTCAGTTCCGGGTAGGGTCTGACCAACTCGAGTACCCCCTTTCTGGCGGACTCTAACAGGCACGTTTTGAAATCCGGGCTCTTCCGGGTGCACTTGTGGAAGTTCGGGGCTGGAAGCGCACTATGAACACGTGAATTCGGGTGACTTTGAACACGTACGTATTTTGACATCGGAGCTGAGCACCAGCAGTGGTATGAAGGTGAGCACTGTTCGCATTATGGGCTACTTTTAAGAGCGGGCGGACGAAGAATGCCGCTTTTATGGGTGGGTTTTAGAAATGTTGCTTTTTATTGCGAAAATTCATAATGAATGAAAGAGCATTTTTGTTGCGAGAGATTGGGAATTAGCACAACTGGTTATGTTAAAGAATGATTCCGAGTTGTGATTAACTTGCAACAAACTAGAAATTGAGAAAATAAAAAAAATATCGAACTGTTTAAGGAAATATTTTGGTTTTGGATTACTGTGGTACTTAATTTGGTAGAGAACCTTGAAGTCACGGCTGTTCTTCCATTTGAAGGGACGAAGAAGAAGGGCATGGGTTCTCCCATTTCTGGATCCCGTAGACAGAGTGTGAATGAAAGTTGACGTAGTAGGCCGTCATTAATTCGTTGAATGAAACAACTTTTTTTAACTGTCGTAAATATTATAAGCATAAATAAATATTTAGGTAGCAAGTATTATTCGAATTTATTTTATTGTAAATATGAACTTAAAAACTAATACTAATAATATCTCGAAAATATTAGTCCGGGATCATTAACGCGCTATGTGAAATTTGCTGGATTTTTAGGCAATTTTTCCAAAAGCCCAATATTTTAAATATGATTTTATGAAATTTTTGGCTCTTTTGGATCACGCTCAAAATTATCTGATTACTTTCGGCTTCATTTCTTCGAACATTTCTACCACATTTCAGGAAAATAAATTATTAAATGTATAGATAAATAAATGGATCCATTAGAAAATAAGCCTACCACAGTCCGCCTGGAATCTTGTTTTTTTTGTTTACAAATACAATTCTAAGAGAATTTTCTGTTGCCTAGGAACCCGATAAACAACTTTTACAAAAAAGCAAAATCAAAGAATGCTCCAAGTCCTTGGATGGTATATTTTTTCGACGAGAACGGGTTAAAATTATACGTAGATTTATATAACGTTTGAAATAAATTAAAAATCCACTCATACAAATGAGTTATGCACAAATAGTGCCTTTTATATATTCTATATCTCTAGTCTTTTTACAAGGTCACGTTTATTAGGGATCCTTCTTTGACATAACCAGTTGTGTTAATTAGCACGTTTTCGGTACAAAAAACGCTATTCTACTTGCTATGCATTTTCCGACAAAGAACAACTTCTGTGAACCCACCTATAAAGGCGCCATTTGTCGTCCGCTCGCTCTAAATTGCCCATCATGCGAACAGTGCTCACCGTCGTACCACTGCTGGTGCTCAGCAGCTGTGTCAAAATCCGTATGTGTTCAAACTCACACCACCACGGGTTCATAATGTTCTTCCAGCCCCCAACTTCCATAAATGCAACCGGAAGAGCCCGGATTTTCAAACTTGCATGTTCGAGTCCGCCAAGAAGGGGGTCCTGGAGCTGGTCAGACCTTACCCGGAACTAACCATCCCTAGCTTTGATCCTTTCGAGCTCACGGAAATGACCATCGGGGGGACAGATGGACCAGTGTACTTCCAGCAAAAATTCACAAAGTGCAAGTTCTACGGACTGGTGGATTTAGACATCGACAATTTCGAGTAAGTCTGTAATGGTTTTCGTCATCGAAGAATTTTGACGTTTTTCAGGTTCAATTTTGAGAAGAAGGTGGTCAGAATGAGTGGGATGTTCCCGGAAATTCAAATGGTGTGCGACTACGAAGTTAAAGTGAAGATTTTGGTTTTGAATATCCATGGGATTGGCAACAGCACGGTTATTCTGAGTAAGTTTTTTGCGTTTTTTTCTTTTTCTGACGATTCGTTTGGTAGAAAACCTTAAAATAACGGATGTTCTTCCGTTTGAGGAGACGAAGAGGAAGGGCAGAACGTTCCCGAATTTTAAGTCCAGTTCGGTCACGATTGATCCCGAGTTGGTAGTTTTTAATTTTGAGAATCATAAGAATAAGGCCTTGTCTGATTCTGTCAATCCGATTTTGAATAACAACTGGAAGGATATTTTTGACGAAGTCAAAGGGGAATATGCGCAGGTCATCGATCGGATTGTCTTGAATGTGGTAAACAGTTTTTTCAGTAAAGTGACTTTTGAAGAGGCTTTTGACAGTACTTAACCACCCAGAGGGTGTGGTAGTGATAAAATGTGATATTTTTGGGAAGAAATTCTAAAGTCATGTTCTTAGTGAAGTCAATATTAAAGAGATATACATAAAATTAAATGTTCATTATTTAAATCAGCTGTAAGTTTAATGTCTTATTGTCGCGAATTTAATATTCCACCCGTTTCCTCATAACCATTGGTCAACTCTAATGTTATGTTCACGGTATTAGAAAATATGCAGTAGTATATAAGTTGTAAAGAAATATGAGAAAATGACGGAAGAAAGAAAAATTGAAGAAAGTTCGTGTACCTTTTGTACTCGAAATCGAAGAATCGAACAATCGAAAAAATCAAAAACTTGCAATTCGAAAAATCGAGGAACTGAAAATCGAGGAATCTCAAAATGCAAAATCAAAAAATTGGTCCAAAGAGTTTAGACAGTACTTCCCTAGCTGTTTGAAACGTGTCGACTGCATGCCTATTGTGTTTTTTTTTGCACATTTAAGATAGCATTTATTCAGCAAAATTTTGGGGTGACGTCATCAATTTTTTAGGGGGGATGAGGAAATACATTTTGACTAAACATTTAACGCCAGACAGACGGACAAACGGACAGACGGACAGGCGCACAGACAGTAGGAACCGGGAGAACAATTTTTCGGCCGGGGGATGATGATAGGTCGAGAAAATGCAAAAGTAGAGAGTCAACCGACGGACTCGATTACAATACTTCCTCTGCTTACGCTCGTGAAGTAAAAACGAAAAAATAGAGAATTCGATAAATCAGAATGAAAATTCGAAAAATCAAGAAATTGATAATCGAGGAATAGAAAAAATCTAAAAATACAGAACCAAAAATTTTAGAAATTCGGAAATCAAATAATTGAGAAATTAAGATATTAAGACAACTACAATTTAAGAACTCGAAAAATTGAAACATCGAAAGCCTGATTAAACGAAAATAAGATAAATCAAAAAATTAAAAAGCAAAAATTTGAGAAATGTAGAAATCAAGAAATCGGGAAACTGAAAATGCAGAAAATTAAGAAACAAAAATTGAAAAAATGAAAAATTGAGAATTCGAAAATTCGAAAAATCTTACATATACCGTTCTCGACAAATCCAGGAATCGAAAATCGAAAATTCATAGAATCGGAAAAACGGAAAATGAAAATTCCAGAAATCCACAAATTTCTTCAGATTTATTACGCAGACAGCGTGTGAATGAAAGTTGACGTAGTAGGCCGTCATTAATTCGATGAATGAAACAACTTTTTTCAACTGTCGTAACATAAATATTTGGGTGTCATGTATTATTAGAATTTTTTTTATGTTTAATGTTATATTATCAAACCTTGAGTATTATTCCTGTTTTTTGAAGAATATTTATGCAACTTTTCTAAAAGCTCAATTCTTCAAAATGAAATTTCAGGAAATTTTTTTTAGTTTTGGTTTCATTTCTAAGAATGTTAGTAGCACATTTCAGGAATTGCCTAATGAAGAATGCCGATTTTTTTCACTGTTTTAAAAATATGAACTGGAAAACTAGTACTTTGAAAATCTTAGTCCGGAGTCATTAACGCGCTTTGTTTTCGAATTACCTCGTTGAGGTCTATATTCCAGAAGTTTTGGTGAGTTTTTAGGTAATTTTCCAAAAGCTCAGTTTTCCAATATGAATTTTTATGGAATTTTTGACTTTTTCGTCCACCCTAGAAAATTATCTAAAAGAATTGTTACAGATTTCGCCACCCAGAATTTATATAAAATATCGTATGACAATTTTTATAAATGTTTAAAAATTTTGTTTTGAAAATGAATAGTCCATAATCTTTGTCCGACGTCATTAGCAAACTATGTTTTCTGAATTAACTTGTCGACATCGATATTCTAGAATTTTTGGTGAATTTTTTGACAATTTTTCAAAAATCCCAATTTTTCAATATAATTTTATGAATTTTTTTTATTTTTTTCAAGCACCGTCGAAAATTATCTAAGAGGAGTTTTTGTAGATGCCAAGTTTAAAAATTTACCCTCACCTTCAAGATTTCTTCAAAAATTTCAACCATTTTTTAGGAATCGCCAGAATTAAATATGGCAATTTTTTGAAATTTAAAAAAAATGGATTTGAAAACGAATACTTCGAAGATCTTCATCCAAGATCATCAACGTGGCATGTTTTTTGAACTGTTTTGTCAGAATCTATGTTCCACAATTTTTGGCGAAATTTTATGCAACTTTTCTAAAAGCTCAGTTCTTCAAAATGAAATTTTATGTACATTTTGGGTTTTTTCGAACGCCGTCGAACATTATTTAAAAATCTTTTTTACAGATTTCGACCTCTAGAATTTACTTTCGGTTTCATTTCTGAGAAAGTTCGTGGCACTTTCAGGAATTGCCCAATGCAAAATGGCAATTTTTCACTGTTTTAAAAATATGAACTTAAAAACTAATACCTCGAAAATCTTAGTCCGGGGTCATTAACGTGCTATGTTTTCGAATTACCTCATCCAGATCTATATTCCAGAATTTTTGGTGAATTTTTAGGCAATTTTCCAAAAGCTCAGTTTTCCAATATGAATTTTTATGGAATTTTTTACTTTTTCGTCCACCCTACAAAATTATCTAAAAGGACTGTTACAGATTTCGACATCCAGAATTTATTTTCGGTTTCATCTCTTCGAAAATTTCTACCATTTTTCCAGAATCGTCAAAATATCGTATGACAATTTTTATAAATGTTTAAAAATTTTGTTTTGAAAATGAATAGTCCATAATCTTTGTCCGACGTCATCAACAAACTATATTTTTTGAATTAACTTGTCGACATCGATATTCTAGAATTTTTGGTGGATTTTTAGACAATTTTTCAAAAATTCCAATTTTTCAATATAATTTTATGAAATTTTTTAACTTTTTCGAGCACCGTCCAAAATTATCTAAGAGAAGTTTTTGTAGATGTCAAGTTCAAAAATTTATCCTCGCCTTCAACATTTCTTCGAAAATTTCAACCATTTTTAAGGAATCGCCAGAATTGAATATGGCAATTTTTTGAAATTTAAAAAAAATTGGCTTTGAAAACGAATACTTAGAAGATCTTCATCCGAGACCATCAACATGGCATGTCTTTTGAACTATCTTGTCAAAATCTATATTCCATAAATTTTGGCGAAATTTTATGCAACTCTTCTAAAAGCTCAATTCTTCAAAATGAAATTTTATGTACATTTTGGGTTTCTTTGAACACCGTCGAACATTACCTAACAATATTTTTTACAGATTTCGACCTCTAGAATTTAGTTTGGGTTTCATTTCTAAGAAAGTTCGTAGCACTTTCAGGAATTGCCTAATGAAAAATGGCAATTTTTCACTGTTTTAAAAATATGAACTTAAAAACTAATACCTTGAAAATCTTAGTCCGGGGTCATTAACGTGCTATGTTTTTCGAATTACCTCTCGTCCAGGTCTATATTCCAGAATTTTTGGTGAATTTTTAGGCAATTTTCCAAAAGCTCAGTTTTTCAATATGAAATTTTACGGAATTTTTGACTTTTTCGTCCATCCTAGAAAATTATCTAAACGGATTGTTACAGATTTCGACATCCAGAATTTATTTTCGGTTTCATCTCTTCGAAAATTTCTACCATTTTTCCAGAATCGTCAAAATATTCTATGACAATTTTCATAAATGTTTAAAAATTTTGTTTTGAAAATGAATAGTCCATAATCTTTGTCCGACGTTATCAACAAACTATGTTTTTTGAATTAACTTGTCGACATCGATATTCTAGAATTTTTGGTGGATTATTTTTAAACGATTTTTCCAAAATGCCAATTTTTCAATATAATTTAATGAAATTTTTTATTTTTTTCGAGCACCGTCGAAAATTATCAAAGAGGAGTTTTTGTAGATGTCAAGTTCAAATATTTACCCTCGCCTTCAATATGTCTTCGAAAATTTCAACCATTTTTTATTCATCGCCAGAATTAAATAAGGCAATTTTTTTAAATTTAAAAAAAATTGGTTTTGAAAACGAATACTTCGAAGATCTTCATCCGAGACCATCAACATGGCATGTTTTTTGAACCATCTTGTCAAAATCTATATTCCATAATTTTTGGCGAAATTTTATGCAACTTTTCTAAAAGCTCAATTCTTCAAAATGAAATTTGATGAACATTTCGTGTTTTTTCGAACACCGTCGAACATTATCTAAAAAATTTTTTTACAGATTTTGACCTCTAGAATTTAGTTTCGGTTTCATTTCTAAGAAAGTTCGTAGCACTTTCAGGAATTGCCTAAAGAAATATGGCAATATTTTTCACTGTTTTAAAAATATGAACTTAAAAACGATTAATACCACGAAAATCTTACAACGGGGTCATTAACATGCTATGTTTTTTTTTGAATTACCTCATCTAGATCCATATTCCAGAATTTTTGGTGATTTTTAGGCAATTTCCCAAAGCTCAGTTATTCAATATGAAATTTTATGGAATTTTTGATTTTTTTCGGGCACCCTAGAAAATTATCTAAAAGGATTGTTACAGATTTCGACATCCAGAATTTATTTTCGGTTTCATCTCTTCGAAAATTTCTACCATTTTTCCAGAATCGTCAAAATATCGTATGACAATTTTTATAAATGTTATGATAATCTTTGTCCGAGATCATCAACAAACTATGTTTTTTGAATTAACTTGTCGAGCGAGCTCTATATTCCAGAATTTTTGCTGGATTTCTAGGCAAATTTTCGGAAAGCCCAATTTTTCGGTGTGTTTTTGTGAAATTTTTGACTTTTTCGAGCATCCTATCTAGAAAGAGTTTTTGCAGATGTCAATCTCCAAAATTTACTTTCGGCTTCATTACATTTTTGTTTTTGTTGCATATAAATACAATTCTAAGAGATTTTTTGTTGCCTAGGAACCCGATAAACAACTTTTACAAAAAAGTAAAATAGAAGAGTGGTCCAAGCCCTTGGATGGTATATTTTTTCAGCGAGAACGAGTTAAAATCATACGTAGATTTGTATATGACGTTTGAAATAAATTAAAATTCCACTCAAACAAATGAGTTATGCACAAATAGCTAGAGCTACGAGTACATAAGATAAAATCAAACCTGAATTCTGTGATACTTTTACAGATAATGCTTTTTATATATTCTATATCTCTAGTTTTTTACAAGGTTATTTTTATTCGGAATGCTTCTTTGACACAACCAGTTGTGTTAATTACCAACTTTTCGGTACAAAAAACGCTATTCTACTTGGTATGCAACTTCGGTGAACCCACCTATAAAAGCGCCATTTTTCGTCCGCTCGCTCTAAAGTGCCCATCATGCGAATAGTGCTCACCTTCGTACCACTGCTGGTGCTCAGCAGCTGTGTCAAAATCCGTATGTGTTCAAACTCACACCACCACGTGTTCATAGTGTTCTTCCAGCCCCTAACTTCCACAAATGCAATCGGAAGAGCCCGGATTTTAAAAGCTGCGTGCTCGAGTCCGCCAAGAAAGGGGTCCTGGAGCTGGTCAGACCCTACCCGGAACTGACCCTCCCCAGCCTGGACCCTTTCGAGATCTCGGAAGTCACCATCGGAGGGTCAGACGGACCAGTGAGCTTCCAGCAAAAATTCACAAAATGCAAGCTCTACGGACTGGTGAATTTAGACATCGACAATTTCGAGTAAGTCTGTAATGGTTTTCGTCATCGAGGAATTTTGACGTTTTTCAGGTTCAATTTTGAGAAGAAGGTGGTCAGAATGAGTGGGATGTTCCCGGAAATTCAAATGGTGTGCGACTACGAGGTTAAAGGGAAGATTTTGGTTTTACATATCGATGGAGTTGGCAACGGCACGGTTATTCTGAGTAAGTTTTTGGCGTTTTTTGATTTTTCTGACGATTCGTTTGGTAGAAAACCTTAAAGTAACGGATGTTCTTCCGTTCGAGGAGACGAAGAGGATGGGCAGAACGTTCCCGAAGTTTAAGTCCAGTTCGATCACGATTGATCCGGAGTTGGTGGTTTTTGATTTTGTGAATCATGATAATAGGGCTTTGTCTGATAATGTCAATCCGATTTTGAATAACAACTGGAAGGATATTTTTGACGAAGTTAAAGGGGATTATGCGAACGTCGTGGATCGGGTTGTCTTGAATGTGGTTAACAGTTTTTTCAGTAAAGTGACTTTTGAAGAGGCTTTTGATAGTGCTTAACCACCCGGAGGGTGTAGTAGTGGCAAAATGTGATATTTTTCGTAAAGAAATTCTAAAACTATGTTCTTAGTCAAATAAATATAAAGTTTTGCATAAATAAACTGTCCCTTTTTTTGAATCGCCAACTCTCCTTAGATATAATAAAATTAAATGTAGATTATTTAAATCAGTTGTATGTTTAATGTCTCACTCTTCTCTAATTGTCGCTAATTTAACACTCCACCCGTTTTTTTATAACCATTAAAACCGCATTAAACATTACAACAACGTCGAAACCCGAACACGTTTGACCACTTTACCCCCATTCTCAAGTTCATCGGTAGCAGTGGTTCACAGCGATCCTCGCTACCAGTCTACTCTGAACCACCATGAACTACTTACTCATTTTAATCTTCGCACTACGCGCAGTTGATTGTACCATCCGTAAGTATCAAATCTCACCACTCTTTTTCCTCACTTCTTGACAATTCAGCATCTACTTTTAGAAAATGCGGCCGCAAAAACCCCGATTTTCAAAAATGTCTCCAAGAAGCCGCCCAAAATGCTGTCCAGCAGTTGGCAAAACCGTTCAAATCGCTGAATTTGCCGAGCTTGGAGCCCTTAATTGTCGAAAGTTTGACTCTCGAAAGAGCTCCTGGTGCAGTGTCGGTTGAGCAACAATTGACAAATTGTAAACTGTCTGGACTGACTAGTGCCAAAATTGAGAAATACGAGTGAGTGAGATCACTATTGCCTCATCTAGTTCTATTAACTGTGCTTCTAGTATGAACTTTGACAACAAAACTGTCGCACTTGTGGCAGTTATTCCCGAAGGTGTTCTCAAATGTGAGTATAAAATGGACGGCCAAATTCTCGTTTTGACTGTCAAAGGAGAAGGCAATGCGACGATTGGTTGCAGTAAGTTCTCTGATAGTAGAAATTTGTTGTCTATCTTAGTTTATTTTGTTTGTAGAAAATTTGCGCTGTGTGTATCATGCTGGTTACAAAGACTACGTTAAAAATAACAAGACGTATTTTATGGTTGACAATGACGTTTTGGACGCAGAACCTGAAGAAGTGTACATCAATTTCGAGAATCTTTTTGGCGGGAATAAGGAAGTGGGTGATAATATTAATAAAGTTTTGAACGAAAACGCGAAGGAGATTTATGAAGAGCGGAAGCCGGTTTATAATGACTTGATGAAGCAGGTGGTGACGGAGGTGCTTAATAGAGTGTTTGCTAAGGTGTCAATAGAAGAAGCGTTCGAGTGAAAGTGTCCCAGTTTTGAAATTGTTGCTGATATTTATATGAGAATAAATTGCGCAAATAAGTCTTGAGTTTTTTGGTGTTGCTACGTTGGAGAAATAATTATGTGTAACTAAGTGTAAAAGTTTGTGTTGATGATTCCGGATGTTCATCTCAGATGGTCAGCTCTAAAGTTGTATTCACGGTATTAGAAAATATGCAGTCTAGTATACAAGTTGCAAAGAAAAATGAGAAAATGACGCCAGAAAAAGAAGTTAGAGTTGAAGGAAGTTCATGTACCTTTTGTGCCCGAAATCCAAAATTCGAACAATCGAAAAATCAAAAACTGAGAATTTGAAAAATCGAGGAACTGAAAATCGAGAAATTGAGAAATCGAGAACTCGAAATCTAGGAAAATCCAAAAATTAAAAAATCATGAAAATTTCGAAAAAAACGAGTATTTCAAAACTGCGGAATCAAAAAATGGAGCAATCGAGAAATTGAGAATACGAAAAATCAAAATAAAAATTCGAAAAATCAAGAAATTGATAATCGAGTAATCGAAAAATCGAAAAATGCAAAAACCAAAAATTTTAGACATTGCTAAATAAAAGAAATGAGAAATTTATATATCAAAACAACTACAGTTCGAGAACTCGAAACATCGAAAAATCGAAAAAACGAAAATTAGAAAAACCGAAGAATCAAAAGAGCAAAAATTTTAAAAATCCATAAATGGACAAATCGGAAAATTGAGAACGCGGACAATTAATAAAACAAGAAATTGAAAATTCCAAAGATCGAAAAATTGGAAAATCAAACAATTGAAAAAATGAAAAATTGAATCGAGAATTGAAAACTCGAAAAATTGAAATATCGAAAATCGAAAAATCGAAGGATCAAAGCCGAAAAATTCAAAAATCCAAAATCGAAAAATCAGTAAAAAAAACTAAAAATTGAGAATGCGAAAAATTTAAGATTCACCATAAAAATTCGACAAACTGAGAACTCGAGAAATTGAAAAGCGAAAAATCTAAAAATGCAGAATCAAAAAATAGAGAAATTGGGAAACCGAGAAATCTAAATACTGAAAAATCGAAGAACGAAAACTCGAAAAATCCAGAAATCGGAAATCGAAAATTCATGCGAACGAAAAACGAAAAATGAAAGTTCGAGAAATGGACAGATTGAAAGTATTGAGCTCTAAGACATCTTCAATCCTCTTCATGTATAAACTTTACTATAGGGCACTTGTTTGGTAGAGTTTCTAATTTTTACGAAACAAAAAAATAGAATTTTCACAATTCCATGATAAAGCAGATAATAGCAGTTGTTTATTCCTTAGAAAAAAAGGTGGAATGTTTTTAATGTTATCGTAAACAATACCGTTCCAAATTTCGCTAGAAGCATTTTCAATTTCCGCAGTTTTATTAGATTAGTATCATTGGCAAATGAAGATATACCCTCTAAGAAAATTAGCGACGGGTGGGTGGAGCTAGTACTTACTAAGATAAGACTGAATTTGGCAAATGATATACCTCCTAAGAAAACAGAGGGCGGATGGGCGGGGTTAGTACTTGTTATGATAAGACTGATTTTGGCAATTGATATATCATCTAAGAAAATAGAGGGTGGGTGGGCGGTGCTGGTACATACTAAGATATGATCGATTTTGGCAAATGATATACCCTCTAATCTAAAAAAATAGCGGGTGGGTGGGCGGGAATAGCACATGCTAAGATAGGACTTATTTTGGCAATTAATATATCCTCTAAGAAAACAGAGGGTGGGTGGGCGGGGCTGGTACTTGCTATAATAAGACTGATTTTGGCAATTGATATATTCTCTAAGAAAATAGAGGGTGGGTGGGCGGGGCTGGTACATTCTAATATATGATGGATTTTGGCAAATGATATACCCTATAAAAAAATAGCGGGTGGGTGAGCGGGGATAGCACATGCTAAGATAAGACTGATTTTGCCAACCTCTAAGAAAGTAGGGGGTGGGTGGGCGGGGTTAGTTCTTATTAAGATAAGATTGATTTTGGCTAATGATATACCCTCTAAGAAAATAGAGGACGGGTGGGCAGGGTTAGTACTTACTAAATTAAGACTGAACAATATTAAGAGTAGTTACCAGAATGAAGAGGGGGTGGGTTGACAGGGTTACTGCTTGCTTATAAGAATATCTTTGCCCAATGAACTAATTTTATTAATTTACTAGTTTTATTTATTGTAAAATGGAAATTGAATTCTATTTTAAAAAGCGGTAGAATCTAAAATTTAAAACCGAGTCAAAAGTGGTCCCAGCCACTCACCTCTTCCATTTTGATCATTCATTCTTATTGACTCTTATATTCTTACTCTTATTCTTATATTGAACAATAATAGAATCTAGGATTAAATTTTTTGTATTTTTTCCAAAAAACATTTTTTTCAACAGCGTTTACACTTAAATAATAAATCGAGAAATCGAAAAATGCAAATCAAAAAATGGAGAGAAATTGAGAAATTGAGAATTCGAAATATAGAAAAATCCTAAAAATCGAAAAATCGATAAATAGAAAAATCTAAACATCCAAAAGATGAATCGAATATTCGAAAAATCCAAAAATTTAAAATTGAAAACTCAATAAAAAAACGAAAAATTAAGAATTCGAAAAATCTAAAAATTAAAATGAAAATTCGAAAAATTGAGCAATTGAGAATTTCAAAAATGGAAAAATCAAAAAATTGAAAATTCGAAAAATCGACAAATCGAAAAAACCTTAAAAGCAACAATCTGAAAAATCTAAAAATACGGAAATCGGGAAATTGAGAACGTGGAAATTTGAAAAATAAAAAAATTGAAAATTCCAAAAAATCGAACAATACAATCGAAAAATTGAAAAATCAAACAATTGAAAAATGAAAAATTGAGAATTCGAAAAATCGAAAAAATCGATAAATCGAAAGGTATAAATAAAGAAAAACCGAAAAATCTAGAAATGAGAATTCGAAAAATCGAGATATCGAAAATCGAAAAACAAAAGAACGAAAACTCGAAAATTCCAAAAATTGGACGTCGAAAGATCATATAATCAAAAAACGAAAAATGAAAAATCTAAATAGAAAAACGGAAAAATCGAGAATTGAGAACTCGAAAAATACAATAGTCGAAAATCAAAAAATTAATAAAAAACGAAAAATTTAAAATTCGAAACACCCAATAATCACTATGAACATTCGAAAAATCAAGAATCGATTTTCAATTTCTCGATTTCTCGATCTTTCGAGTTTCCATTGTACTTTTTATATTTTTCGAACCCAGTACTTTTCGTTTTTTACTTCCCGAGCGTAAGCAAAGGAAGTATTGTAATCGAGTCTGTCGGCCGACTCTCTACTTTTACGTTTTCTTGATCTTTCATGACCCCTAGAAGACGAAGAAATAGGTCTCCCATTTCCGTCTGTCTGTCCGTCTGTCCGTCTGTCCGTCTGTCCGTCTGTCCGTCCGTCTGTCCGTCCGTCTGTCCGTCCGTCTGTCCGTCCGTCTGTCCGTCCGTCTGTCCGTCTGCCGTCCCGGATTTTTATTAGACAGATAATCTCCGAAAGTACTCGACCGATTGTTGTGAAATTTTGTACTTATATTAAGAATATCATGTAGATGGTAAAACGCTAACCAAAATTTGTCTAATCATCCCCACCACTAATGCGATGACGTCACTTCAAAATTGTACATAGTAAATGGGTTTTCAATTGTATAAAATAACATAGTCCTACACATGTAGTTTACAACTTTGAATCGACTTTTCACCCGAAACGTCCAGATTTTTGGAAAAAAAATCAAAATTATAAAACAACACTTTGAAATTTAATTTTTAATCTGCTAACCAGAATGCTTTGAAATGTTGCAGATGTTTTAAGGCTATAAAGAGCATAATAAATTTTTAGTCAAAAAATATTTGCTTATCCCCTCCAAAAACTTGATGACGTCAGCTCAAAAGTTTGTGGAATAAATCATATCTAAAATGTACAAAATATGATGAGTCTGTACTTGTGATCTATCACTCCATTCATATTTTTTGGATTTGCATATACAGGGTGACTCAAAAAAATTAATGAATGCGTAAATTTATTTTACTGATTTACTCAGAAACTACAAAACCGAATGCTTTGAAATCTTGCAGATGTTTTAAGGTTATAAATAGCATAATAAATGTTTAGTCAAAATATATTTGCTTATCCCCTCCAAAAAATTGATGACGTCAGCTCGAAAGTTTGCCGAATAAATCCTATCTAAACTGTAAAAATATGATGAGTCTGTACTTGTAATTTATCACTCCATTCATATTTTTTGGATTTGGATATACAGGGTGACTCAAAAAAATTAATGAATGCGTAAATATATTTTATTGATTTAATCAGGAACTACAAAACCGAATGCTCTGAAATCTTGCAGATGTTTTAAGGTCATAAAGAGCATAATAAATGTTTAGTCAAAATATATTTGCTTATCCCCTCCAAAAACTTGATGACGTCAGCTCGAAAGTTTGCCGAATAAATCATATCTAAAATGTACAAAATATGATGAGTCTATACTTGTCATTTATCATTCCATTCATATTTTTTGGATTTGCATATACAGAGTGACTCAAAAAAATTAATGAATGCGTAAATATATTTTCTTGATTTAATCAGGAACTACAAAACGGAATGCTCTGACATCTTGCAGATGTTTTAAGGTTATAAAGAGCATAATAAATGTTTAGTCAAAATATATTTGCTTATTCCCTCCAAAAACTTGATGACGTCAGCTCGAAAATTTGCCGAATAAATCATATCTAAAATGTACAAAATATGATCAGTCTGTACTTGTGATCTATCACTCCATTCATATTTTTTGGATTTGCATATACAGGGTGATTCAAGAAAATAAATGAAAGCGTAAATTTATTTTATTGATTTACTCAGGAACTACAAAACCGAATGCTTCGAAATCTTGAAGATATTTTAAAATTATCATAAGCATGGTAAATTTTTTATCAAAATGTATTTGATCGTCCCCCCTAAAAAAATTATGACGTCACCACAAAATTTTGCTGAATAAATCCTATCTAAAATGTACAAAATATGGTGAGTCTCTTCTTGTGATTTATCATTCCATTCAAATTTTTTCGATTTGCATATACAGGGTGACTCAAAAAAATTAATGAATGCGTAAATTTATTTTATTGATTTAATCAGGAATTACAAAACCGAATGCTTTGAAATCTTGCAGATGTTTTAAGGTTATAAAGAGCGTAATAAATTTTTAGTCAAAATATATTTGGTTATCTTCTACAACAAACTGATGACGTCAGCTCAAAAGTGTGCCGAATAAATCGTATCTAAAATGTACAAAATATGATGAGTCTGTACTTGTGATTTATCATTCCATTCATATTTTTGGATTTGCATATGCAGGGTGACTCAAAAAAATTAATGAAGGCGTGAATGTATTTTATCGATTTAATCAGGAATTACAAAACCGAATGCTTTGAAATCTTGGGAATATTTTAAAGTTATTATAAGCATGGTAAACTTTTGTTCAAAATGTATTTGTTCATCCCTCCTTAAAAAATTGGTGACGTCACCCTTAAATTTTGCTGAATAAATCCTATCTAAAATGCAAAAAATATGATGAGTTTGTAGTTGTGATATATCATTCCATTCATATTTTTTTAGATTTTCTTAAGAGGTGGTTCAAGAAAATTAATGAAGTCAATTTATTTTATTGATTAAATTAAAGGCAACACTTATTATTAGTATTACATCCCAGCCAACCCAATTTGGTAGACACAAAATTTGTTAAAGGAAAAACTCGGTTGAAACATAAGGGTAGCACGCTTATTTACATCGACTTTAACATTACAGACCTGCATTTGTTTTATGCGCTCACTTGGTTCCGCGAATGTGGAATAGACATGTTTATAATCAACCAATTGTGAATTTCACCGTGAAGAATTAAAATAAAACCCAATGTTTTATATAATAAGCGGAAGTCGAAGCAATAAAACCGGTGGTCGTTTTGTTTACAGTTTCTCTGTTTGACTCTCACGTATGCTGTTACGCTTGTCATCTTAAATTAAGAATGTTTATACATAAACGATTTTCAGTTGCCTTTCATATTACCAGACAGCGGATTTTTGTCGGGCTACGTCACGTTTAATCGGTACTAATTCCATAAATATTATTAACGATTTATTAATCAAACGGCTATGTAAATGAGAACGGGAATTAACAGCAGAGTGCAACGAAACAGCTTTATTCTAATCTCAAATAAACGAAGTGCAGTCCGCAATCGCAATGAATTCGCATCCCGTACGAGCCGTACCGAGTTTGGCCTTGCCTAGCCCGACAGAAATCCGCTCTCTAGATATTACACACCGGCGCCGTATACCTGAGTAAATTGTTTCGTTATTTTATTGATTATAAGAAATCAATATTCAAAACGACCCAATTCATTTTCCCGAAAATTTGGGAATACAATAATTTTATTCTTAGTATTACACTACATCTATCCCAACTGATATACGTGTCCTTGCAAAAATGTTGATGACGTCATCAAATTTTTTTTTTAAATTCCCACTACAAAAATGTAATGAGAAAAAAAAACACATTAGGCATGCAGCCGTCAAGTTTCCGACAGCGAGGGAAGTACTGTCTAAACTCTTTAGACCAATTTTTTTTAACATAGTCTTTGTAACCAGCATGATACACACAGCGCAAATTTCTACAAACAAAATAAACTAAGATAGACAACAATTTTTTACTATCAGAGAACCTACTGCAACTAATCGTCGCATTGCCTTCCCCTTTGACAGTCAAAACGAGAATTCGGCCTTCCATTTTGTACTCACACTAGAAGCACAATTAATACAACTAGATGTCTCAATGGTGTTGTCCCTCACTCGTATTTCTCAATTTTGGCACTAGTCAGTCCAGACAGCTTGCAATTTTTCAGTTGTTGCTCAAGCGACACTACACCAGGAGCTTTTTCGAGAGTCAAACTTTCGACAATTAAGTGTTCCAAGCTCGTCAAATTCAACGATTTGAACGGTTTTGCCAACTGCTGGACGGCATTTTGGGCGGCTTCTTGGAGACAGTTTTGAAAATCGGGCCTTTGCGGCCACATTTTCTAAAAGTAGACGCTGAATTGTCAAGAAGTGAGGAAAACGAGTGGTGAGATTTGATACTTACGGATAGTACAATCAACTGCGCGTAGTGTGAAGATTAAAATGAGTAAGTAGTTCATGGTGGTTCAGAGTAGACTGGTAGCGAGGTTCGCTGTGAACCACTGCTACCGATGAAGTTGGGAATGGAGGTAAAGTGGTCAAACATGTTCGGGTTTTGACGTTGTTGCAATGTTTAATAAGGTTTTAAAGTTTATGAAAAAACGGGTGGAATATTAAATTGGCGACAATTATAGAACAGCGATACATTAAACATACAACTGATTTAAATAATCTACATTTAATTTTATGTGGATATCTAAGGACGGTTGGCGATTCAAAAAAAGCGACAGTTTATTTATGCAAAACTTTAATATTGGTTTGACTATAACATAGTTTTAGAATTTCTTTACAAAAATATCACATTTTATCACTATTACACCCTCTGGGTGGTTAAGCACTATCAAAAGCCTCTTCAAAAGTCACTTTACTGAAAAAACTGTTAACCACATTCAAGACAACCCGATCCACGACGTTCGCATAATCCCCTTTAACTTCGTCAAAAATATCCTTCCAGTTGTTATTGAAAATCGGATTGACATTATCAGACAAAGCTTTATTATCATGATTCAAAAAATCAAAAACCACCAACTCCGGATCAATCGTGATCGAACTGGACTTAAACTTCGGGAACGTTCTGCCCATCCTCTTCGTCTCCTCGAACGGAAGAACATCCATTATTTTAAGATTTTCTACCAAACGAATCGTCAGAAAAATCAAAAAACTCAAAAAACTTACTCAAAATAACCGTGCCGTTGCCAATTCCATCGATTTGTAAAACTAAAATCTTCCCTTTAACCTCGTAGTCGCACATCATTCGAACTTCCGGGAACACCCCACTCATCTTGACCACGTTCTTCTCAAAATTGAACCTGAAAAGGGTCAAAATTGCTCGATGACGAAAACCATTACCGACTTACTCGAAATCGTCGAGGTCTAAATCCACCAGTCCGTAGACCTTGCACTTTGTGAATTTTTGCTGGAAGTTGACTGGTCCGTCTGACCCTCCGATGGTGACTTCCGAGATCTCGAAAGGGTCCATTCTGGGGAGGGTGAGTTCCGGGTAGGGTCTGACCAGCTCCCGGACCCCCTTCTTGGCGGACTCGAGCACGCAGCTTTTAAAATCCGGGCTCTTCCGGTTGCATTTGTGGAAGTTAGGGGCTGGAAGAACACTATGAAGACGTGGTGGTGTGAGTTTGAACACATACGGATTTTGACACAGCTGCTGAGCACCAGCAGTGGTACGAAGGTGAGCACTGTTCGCATGATGGGCACTTTAGAGCGAGCTGACGAAAAATGGCGCTTTTATAGGTGGGTTCACAGAAGTTGTTCTTTGACGCAGAATGCATAGCAAGTAGAATGGAGTTTTTTGTACCGAAAAATTGGTATTTAACACAACTAGTGACGTCAAATAAGGATTCCGAATAAAGGTGACCTTATAAAAATTAGAGATATCGAATATATAAACGCTATTATTAGTAAAAGTATCACAGAATTCAGGTTTGATTGCATTTTATGCACTCGTAGGTCAAGCTATTTGTGCATAACTCATTTGTTTGAGTGGATTTTTAATTTATTTTAAACATCATACATAAATCTACGTATAATTTTAACTCGTTCTCACCGAAAAAATATACCATCCAAGGACTTGGACCACTTTTTGATTTTACTTTTTTGTAAAAGTTGTTTATCGGGTTCCTAGGCAACAAAGAAATCTCTTAGAATTGTATTTGTAAACAAAAAAACAAGATTCGAGGCGGACTGTGGTAGGCTTATTTTCTAATGGATCCATTGAAAAATTAGATAATTTTGTGGGTGCTCCAAAAAAGCCAAGAATTTCATAAAGTCATATTGAAACCATTGGGGTTTTGCAAAAATTGCCTAAAAATCCACCAAAAATTCACATAGCGCGTTAATGATCTCGGGCTAAGATTCTTTCCAAACTGCGTCCTTCCAAAAATGTGGATGACATCAACATAAAATTTTGTAATAGAAAAACTCACTTGTAATAAACCATTAGCACGTTTCTTTACCTTTATTCAAACATTAGTGGCATATTTTCATATTAGCTTATAATGGTTGCCATAAAAAACAATAGAATTCGAAAAATCAAATCTTTTTTTGACAAGCTGTCCTTTATGGGTGAGGGATATTTTTAATTTATTTCACACCGGGCATTATGCAATCTTTAACCATTTTTTGCCTTGATTATAAATGTTGCTTTTCGAGTTTCTACTAAGAATGAAAAAACTTTTGAAATTTCATATGTAAACCAAAAAAATACGCATTATATTAAGTTTATGTTTAATGCATTTATAAAATCCAAGTCAGAATTTTGCTATATAAATTTTGTGATTATTCATAATTATTATAAAGATATTAAAAAATCATGATTCTCAAAATTAAAAACTCCGGATCTTCGTCACTTCAAATGAAAGAACATCCTTATATATTTCCTTAAACAGTTCGATTTTTTTTTAATTTCTCAATCTCCAGTTTGTTGCAAGGTGATCACAAATCGGAGTCATTCTTTAACATAACCAGTTGTGCTAATTACCAATCTCTCGCAACAAAAATGTTCTTTCATTCGTTATGCATTTTCGCTATAAAAAGAAACATTTGTAAAACCCACCCATAAAAGCGGCAGTTTTCGTCCGCCCGCTCTTAAAACTAGCCCATCATACGAGCAGTGGTCACCTTCGTACCACTGCTGGTGCTCAGCTCCGGTGTTAAAATACGTACGTGTTCAAAGTGCTCTTCCAACCCCGTACTTCCACGAGTACAACCGGAAGAGCCCGGATTTCATAACCTGCTTGTTAGAGTCCGCCAGAAAGGGGGTGCTCGAGTTGGTTAGACCCTAACCGGAACTGACCATTCCCAGCCTGGACCCTTTCGAGCTCCCGGAAGCCACCATCAAAGGGACAGAGGGACCAGTAAACATACAAAAAAGATTCAAAAAGTGCAAGTTCTATGGATTTCCGAAGTTGCAGCTAGTACTTACAAAAATAGGACTGATTTTGGGAATTATATACTCTCTAAGAAAATAAAGGGTGGCTGAGCGAGGTTAGTATTTGATAAGATAAAACTGATTTTGGCACTTTTGGCATTTTTGACCATTTTTCAACTACTTTAGAAAATTATCCAGAGTCTGGTCAGGTCAAGTCAGGCAAATACTATAACAAAAAAAGTTACGATTAGCGTTTTTTTTTTTTAACTTTTTCCACATCCTAGATTCTATTATTACTTTCCACTCCCACTCAACAGAAGAAAATAGTTTAAAACATATAAAATTTAAAAAAAAATTAAATTTAAATTTTAGTAATTTTTTGAAAATTACCTCAATACATTTTTTTGTAGATTTCAGCCAATAGAGGTTATTTTCGGCTTTATTTCTTTGAAAATTCCAATTATTCGCCCAGAAACGACAAAATGATAAATGATAATTTTCGAGATGATTTTTTTATTTTAGACCGAATTTTTGGAAAATCTATATTCTAGATTTTTTTCAGAATTTTTAGTCAAATTTTCAAAATTCTCAATTTTTCAATTCATGAATTTTTGGATTTTTTCCTATTTTTCGAGTACCCATCGGAAATTACCGAAGCATATTTCTTTGCAGACTTCCTCACATAGAAGTTATTTTCGACTTCCTTTCTTCTAAAATTCCAACAATTTTTTTAAAATCAAATAAAAATTTCGAGATAAAATACATTTCATTTTCAAATTGAATTTTTGGAAAATCATGGTCCGGAATCATTAAAACGTTATATTTCTCATATTTTGGTATTAATATACAGGCATTTTTTGAGAATGTTTAGATCACTTTTTAAAATTTTAGAACCTCAAAATTTTTTGTTGTAGATTTTGACTTTTAGAAGTTATTTTCGGCTTTATTTCTTTGAAAATTCCAATAATTTTTCCAGAATCGACAGAATGAAGAATGACAACGACATTAAGCTCGTCGGGATCTATATTCTAGATTTTTTCCAAGATTTCTAGGCAACTTTTCAAAATTCTCAATTTTTCAATTTATGAACTTTTGAATTTTTTCCCATTTTTCGAGCACCATTCGAAAATTACTTCAAGACATTTTCTTGTAGATTTCGACTTTTATAAGTAATTTTCGGCTTTAGTTCATCGAAAGTTCCAATAATTTTTCCAGAATCCACAAAATGATAAACGACAATTTTCGAGACGACGTTTTTGTTTATTTTAAATCGAATTTTTGGAAAATCTTGGTCTGGAAAATCTAACACATCATATTTCTCGAATCAGGTCGTCAAGATAAATATGCCAGAATTTTTTCAAAATTTTTAGGCAACTTTCAAAAATTTCAGTTTTTTAAAAGAATTTTGGATTTTTTGGCCACTTTTCGAGGACTCTTCGAAAATTACCAAAACACTGTGTTTGTAGATTTCGACTTGTAGAAGTTATTTTGGACTTGGTTTTTCGAAAATTTCAATAATTTTTTCAAAATCAAAACCAAATGAAAAATGACGAATTTCGAGGTGAAATAAATTTCAATTTCAAACTCAATTTTTGGAAAATCTTGGTCCGGAACCATTATATTTTTCGAAATAGCTTATCGAAATCTATATGTAGAATTTTTTTGGGAATTTTTGGGCCACTTTTGAAAATTCTCAATTTTTCAATGTATGAACAGCTTTTAGTGCACCATTCGAAGATTACTCCAAAATATTTTATTGTAGATTTCGACTTTTAGAAGTTATTTTCGGTTTTATTTCTTCGAAAATTCCAATTATTTTTTTTTCCAGAATCGACAGAATGAAGAATGACAACGACATTAAGCTCGTCGGGATCTATATTCTAGATTTTTTCCAAGATTTCTAGGCAACTTTTCAAAATTCTCAATTTTTCAATTTATGAACTTTTGAATTTTTTCCCATTTTTCGATCGATAAAATGAAAAATACAATTTTCGAGATTTTTTTAATTGTTAAACCAAATTTCTGGACAATTTTGATCAGCTCGTCGAGATCTATACTCTACATTTTTTTCTGGATTTTTAGCCAAATTTTCTAAAGTTCCAATTTCTCAATTAATGAATTTTTGGATGTTTTCCCATTTTTCAAGCACCCTTCAAACATTACCAAAACACATTTCTTTGTAGATTTCGATTTGTAGATGTTATTTTCGGCTTCGGTTCTTCGAAAAATCCATCCATTTTTTCAAAATTAAGTGAAAATTGACGAATTTCGAGATGAAATAAATTTCATTTTCAAACTAAATTTTTGGAAAATCTTGCTCGAGAACCATTAAACATATTTATGACTCCAGACCAAGATTTTCCAAAAATTCATATTTTTCGAATCGGCTCACTAAACTCTAAATGCAGGACTTTTTTGTTTTTTGATGTGTCGACTTTTCGAATTTTCAAATTTTTGATTTTTTGAATTTTCGATTTTTCGAAATCCATAAATCCAGAAATCGGGAAATTTAGGACGCGGAAAATTGAAAAATGAAAAATCTAAATATCGAAAAATTGAGAATTCAAAAAATCGAGAAATCCCAAAATCCTAAAAACCGAAAAATCGATAAATTCATTAATCTAAATATCGGAAAACGGAAAAATCGAGAGTTGAGATATCGAAAACGTAGTATCGAAAATCGAAAAATCGAATAATCAGAAACTTGAAAAATTAGTGAAAAAACGAAGAATTGTGAATTCGAAAAATTTAAAACTCACAACGAAAATTCGAAAAATCGAATCAAACAATGGAGATTGAGAAATCGAGAAATCGAGAAATTGAAATATCAAAAAACCGAAAAATCGAATAGTAGACAAAAAGAAAATTCGAAAAATCATAAAAGCAAAAATTCAAAAAATCTAAAATGGAACAATTAAAAAATGAAAAAGATATAGAATTTGAAAAATCAAAAACTAAGAATTTGAAAAAACTTGAATTGAAGAATGAGAAATTGGGGAATTAAGAACTCGAAAAATTGAAAATTCATATGAAAATTCGAAAAATCGAGATCGAGAAATGAAAAATGGAGAAATTGAGAAATCGAGAACTCGAGCAATGGAGAAGTTGAGAATTTGAAAAATCAACGTATTGAAAAATTAAACACTTGTTAAAACGAAGAAAATTCGAAATATCCGAAAGTTCGAAAAAGACCATAAATTGAAAGATCTAAAATCTAAAAGAAAAAATCAAGAACTGAGAAATCTAAACATTGAAAAATCGAAGAACCGAAAACTCGGACAATCCAAAAATCGAGAATCGAATATTCATACAATAAAAAAAAACGAAAAATTGAGAATTAGAAAAATCGAAAAATGAAAATTGGAAAACTGGAGAAAAAAGAAAATCGGGAATTGAAAAATGCAAAATAAAAAATGGAGAAATTGGGAAATCGAGAAATTGGGAAGTCAAAGAATCGAGAAATCGAAAAATGCAGAACCAAAAATTTGAGAAAAACTAGAAAAATCGAAAAATTAAAAAAGCAAAAATTTGAAAAATTTAAAAATAGAGAAATCGGGAAATTGAAAACGGGGAAAATCGAAAAAATAAAAAAAATTAAATTCCAAAAATCGAGCAATCCAAAAATCGAAAAATAAAACAATGAACAAAAAGAAAAATTGAGAATTCGAAAAATCGAAAAAACGAAAAAATCGATAAAAGTTATCTAATTATCGAAAACCCGAAAAATTGAGAATTGCGAACTTGAAAAATTAAAATATCCAAAATCGAAAAATCATCAAATCAAAAAAAAAACAAAGACTGAAAATGCGAGAAATTGAGTAATTGAAAATCGAGACGTCGAAAAAGACGGAACCAAAAAATAGAAAAATTCAGAAATCGAGAACTCGAAATATCGTAAATTTGAAAAATCGAAAAATTCAGAAATCCAGAATTTGATAACCGAGAACTCGAACAATCGAAAAATGCCAAACTAAAATCTTAAGAAATTGGGAAGTCGAGAGATCAAGGAATTGAGAAATCAAGAAATTGAGAAATCGACAAATTGAGAAACAGAGAAATTGAGAAATCGAGAAAACTAGAAATCAAGAATTCAAAAAATCGAAAGTACGAAAGATGAAAAAACAAAAATTTTAAAAATCTGTAAATCCAGAAATCGGGAAATTCAGAACGCGGAAAATTGAAAAATGAAAAATCGAAAAATCCTAAAAATCGCAAAAATCGATAAATTTATAAATCTAAATATCGAAAATCGAAAAATCGAATAATCGGAAACTTGAAGAATCCAAAGATCGAAAAATTAGTGAAAAATTAAAAAATTGAGAATTCGAAAAAACGACAAATTGAAAAATTAAACAATTGTTAAAACGAAGAGGAGACGATGAATTGAAAAATCTAAAATCTAAAAGGAAAAATCGAGAACTGAGAAATCTACAAATCGAAATATCGAAAACTGAAAAATCGAAGTATCGAAAACTTGAAAAATAAACATTACAATAAAAAAAAAACGAAAAATTGAGAATTAAAAAAAACGAAAAATTAAAATAAAAATTGGAAAATTGGGGAAATCGAAAAACCGAAAATCGGGAAATCGAAAAATGCAGAATAAAAAATGAAAAAAAAAGAAATCCAATTGGAAGAAAATTGGAATTCAAAAAATCGAACAATTAAGAAATTGAGAAATCGAAAAATCTAAAAACGCAGAATCAAAAATTTGGCAAATTGGAAAATCGAGAAATTGAGAAATTGAAAAATGAAGAAAATTAGAATTCTAGAAGTCGAAAAAGAGAAACATCGAAAAACCGAAAAAACAAAAACTAGAAAAATCGAAAAATCTAAAAATAGAGAAATCGGGAAATTAAAAATGCGGAAAACTGAACATTCCAACAATCCGAAAAAGCGAAAAAATCGATAAAAGAAAAATTGAGAATTTGAAAGATAGAAAAATCGAAAAATCCAGAATTTGATAACCGAGAAATCGAAGAATCGAAAAATGCCAAATTAAAATTTTGAGAAATTGGGAAATCGAGAAATTGAGAAATCGAGAAAACTAGAATTGAAAAATTTTAAAAATTGAAAATTTAAAAAATCGAAAATTGAATAATCTAAAAAAGTAAAAATTTGAAAAATTTAATAATAAAGGAATCTGGAAATTGAGAATGTGAAAGCTGAAAAATCAGAAAATTCAAGAAACGAAAACTTGAGGATTCTAAAAATTTAAAAATGCTAAAAATCAAAAAAAGCGATAGATTGAGAAATCTAAATATCGAAATACGGAAAAACCAAGAATTGTGAACACGAAATATCGAAAAGTAGAATAATTGAAAACACGAAAAATCCAAAACTCAAAAATCGAAAAACTAATAAAGAGACGAAAAATTGGAATTTCAAAAAATCTAATATTCACAATAAAAATTCGAAAAATCAAGAAATCGAGAAGTCAAGAAACTGATAATCGAAAAATCGAGAGATCGAGAAAATTAGAATTCGATAACTCGAAAAATTGAAACATCGAAAAACCGAAAAATCGAATAATCGAAAAAACGAAAAATTGAGAATTGAAAAAATCGAAAACTCAAAAAAACAAAAATTTAAAAAATCTAAAAATGGCCAAATTAAGAACGCGGAAAATTAAAAAAGGAAAAAATTGAAAATTCGAAATATCGACAAATCGAAAAACAATTGTTAAAACTAAGAGAAGATAAATTGAAAGATCTAAATATCGAAATATCGAAAACTGAAAAATCGACAATCGCAAACTCGAAAAATCCAAAAATTGAGAATCCAAAAAATCGAAAAATTGAAACGAAAATTCGAAAAATCGAGAAATCGAAAAATTGATAGTCGAAAAATCGAAAATGCAGAACCAAAAATTTGACAAATGGAGAAACTGGGAAATGAGAAACCCAGAAATTCGGAATTCGAAATATCGAAAATTCAAAATATCAGAAATTTCAAAAATCTAAAAATCGGGAAATTGAAAAATCAAAAAATTGAAAATTCGAAAAGTCGACACATCAAAAAACAAACAATTATACAATTGTTAAAACGGAGAGAATTCGCAAAATCGAAACATCGAAAATCGACAAATTGAAATCTCTAAATATTGAAAAATCGAAAAAGCGAGAAATGAGAATTCTATATATCGAAATATAGAAAATTGGAAAACTGAAGAATCGAAAATTCGAAAAATCCAAAATTTGAGAATCGAAAAATCATACAATCAAAAAACGAAAAATTGAGAAATCGAAAAATCGAAAAATTAAAATGAAAATTCGAAAAATCGAGAAATCGAAAAATGCAGCAAAAGATGGAGAAATTAGGAAATCGAGAAATTGGAAATTTGAGAAATCGAAAAATAGAGAAATCGACAAATCGAAAATCAAGTAATCGAAAAATCGAAAAATACGGAATTAAAAGCTTGAGAAAGTGAAAAATATAATAAAAAGAGAGCGAGGATAAACGAGCAAAGCAACTTTTGCTGAACGATTTATGATGATAATGATAACTTTAAAACGTTTTCATTATTTCAGAGCATTTGATTTTTTTTTCCAAAAACTGAATGTCTAGATGTGATTTCATGAAATTAAAACAAATTTACTATTGTAAATTTTAGAGATGATATCATGGGGATGGTTAGTGAAATTTTGATTAGCGTTTTACCATCTACACGATGTTTATAAAATATATACAAAATTTGACAACAATAGGTTCAGTAGTTTCGGAGATTATCTGTCCAATAAAAATCGACACAGACATAGAAGACCATTTTTTCAGACTCTAACAGACAGAGGGACAGTCAGACGGACAGATAGACGACAGACAAACGGAAACAGGAGACCATTTTTTCGTGCTCTAAGGGTCAGAACCTCCAGAAAACATGAAACTGGTAAGTCGCCCTATGGACTTGAACAGCTTGTGTAACTCATAAGGAAAAATTGTGAGAACAGAAAACACACACTTGATTGTGTAAAATTTTAATAATAAACACTTAGTACCTTAAATTTGAAAACGTAAATTTATAAATGCTGAAAAAAAGTATCACATTTTATGACTCCAAGTCTTCTGGCTGGTCACGCACTATCAAAAGCCTCTTCTAAAGTCACTTTATTGAAAAAACTGTTAATCACACTCAAGGCAATCTGGTCGAACATCTCCTCATAACTCCCTTTAACATCGTCAAAAATCTCCTTCCAGTTATCATTCAAAACCGGATTAAGAGAATTAGTAAAAGCCTTATCAACATGACTCTCAAAATTAAAAACCACCAACTCCGGATCAATCTTGAGCGCACTGGTCTTAAACCTCAGATACGTTTTACCCTTCTTCTTCATCTCGTCGAACGAAAGAACATCCCTGGCTTTCACATTCTCTACAAAACATCTCGTCAGAAAAATCAAAAAACACAAAAAACATACTCAGAATAATCGTGCTGTTGCCCTTTCCATCAACAGTTACCACCAAAACCTGCCCTTTCATTTCGTAGTCGCACAGCATTTGAATTTCGGGGAACACCCCGCTCAGTTTGCCCCACTTCTCCTCAAAATTTACCCTACAAAAGGACAAAATTCGTCCAGAACCAGAACCACCCCACACTCACTCGAATTCGTCCAGCTGCAACTTCGGCAATCCGTAGAACTTGCACTTTTTGAATTTTTGCTGGATGTTCACTGGTCCCTCTGTCCCTCCGATGGTGGCTTCCGTGAGCTCGAAAGGTTCCAGGCTGGGGATGGTCAGTTCCGGGTAGGGTCTCACTAGCTCCCGGACCCCCTTTCTGGCGGACTCTAACAAGCAGGTTTTGAAATCCGGGCTCTTCCGGTTGCACTTGTGGAAGTTCGGGGCTGGAAGAGCGCTATGAAGACGTGAACTAGGTTGACTTTGAACACGTACGTATTTTAACACCGGCGCTGAGCACCAGCAGTGGTAGGAAGGTGAGCACTGTTCGCATGATGGGCTACTTTTAAGAGCGGGCGGACGAAAAACGCTGTTTTTATAGGTGGGTTTCACAAATGTTGCTTTTATTGCAAAGTGCATAACGAGTGAAAGAGCATTTTAGTTGCGAAAGATTGGCAATTAGCACAACTGGTTATGTTAAGGAATTATTCCGAGTTGTGATCACCTTGCAACAAACCAGAGATGGAAAAAATAGGAAAAAAACAGAAGTGACGGATGCTCACGTATTTGTCTGTTTAAGGAAATATTTTGGCCTTGGAGTGCAGTGGTGGTTAATAACAATTAAAATTAAAATTAATGTAAATGAGTGTAACTACTGACGTAATAATTCGAGTAAAAAGTCGTTTGGGGATTTCCAAGGAGAACCAACAATGGAAAATAAATTATTTATGTTGTTACGATCTTTCTTCCGAGGATTACATTGGAGTAGGTCAAAACTCAACTAAATATTATTTTTTTTAACACCGGACGGAAGGTCCTGACCTGCGCCTTTTTTTGTGCTGTGACTACTATTATTCATGTTGATAAAGTCATTCAAATTTTTTATTGGTTAAATTAAGAACGAGTCACCCCATTTTCTCGAAAATGTGAAAAACACGTCAAAAAACTCATTCAAATCAAACTAATTTCTACGTGACATTCTTTCGATGTATAAATGTAAATAAACACTTAGTGACACAAAAAAATGTTTTCGTTGTTTATTTTTAGGGAAAAAAATGCTGCAAAAGGCCGATTTTTTAAAATTCTGGAACAATCTCTTAAAAACGTACTTTTAAAACAGATTAAAAATCACATCACACTTAGAAACTCCATGTTTTACTCTATTTAAATCTCCAGCTCACCGTGCAGTCACTACTTCTTCTACTATATAAAACTCTTCAAATTCTCCAAACCCTCAAACTCCAAGTAGTCAATTCCTAAAAATCATCAAACCCTCAAAATCTTCAAATACTTGAATTCCCAAATCCGCAAATCACCAACACAAAACAAAAACGTCAAATCCGCAAAAACCTCAAATCACCCTCAAATTTTCAAAATCTCCGAATCAGCAAATCAAAATCATCAAAAATCATCAAAATTCGTAAATATTCAGATTTTCAAAACAGCAAATTCGCAAAATCATCAAATTCTTAAAACCCGCAAATCAAAATCTTGAAGATCCCCAATCAGCAAATCATTAAAATTTTCAAATCACCAAGTCCTCAAAATTCTCATATCCTCCAAATATTCAGATCCTTAAAATCCTCATATCTTTAAAATCCTTAAATCCGCAAATCAAATCTTCAAATTCCTAAATCACAAAATCCTCAAATCACCAAATCTTCAAATCCTGAAATCTTCACATTACTAAAATTCTCGAAAGCTCAAATCCTCAAATTCTTCAAACCCTCAGAATCCCCAAATCCTCCAAATCTGCAAATCACCAACTCCTACAAACAAAATCATCAAATCCTCAAATCACCAGATTCTCAAATCTGCAAGATGCCCAATTCAGCAAATACTAAAAATCCTGAAAATCGTCAAATTACCAAATCTTTAAAATCCCCAAAACCTTTAAATCCTTATATCTTTTAATCAAACTCTTCGAAATCCTTAAATCCCTAAAGCCCTCCAAACTCGCAAATCAAATCTTCAAATTCTCGAAACACCACATCCTCAAAATCCGTAAATATCCATATTTTCAAAACAGCAAATCCACAAAATCATTAAATTCTTAATATCTTCAAGATCCCCAATCAGCAAATCATCAAAATCTTCAAATCACCAAATCCTCAAAATCGTCAAAAATTTCAGATCCTCAAATCAATAAATCCCCGAAATACTTAAATTACCAAATCCTCAAAATCTTCAAAGCGCCAAATCCTCGCAACATCACATCATCAACATTGTCGGATCCTCAAATTGTCAAATTATAAAAATCATCAAATCACTAAATCCTCAAAATTCTCATATCCTCCAAATATCCAAATTCTTAAAATATCTTTAAAATCCTCAAATCCGCAAACCAAATCTACAAATCCCCAAAACACAAAATCATCAAATCACCAAATTTTCAAATCATGAATTCTTCACATTACTAAAGTTCTCGAAAGCCCAAATCCTCAAATTTTTCAAATCCTCAAGACCCTGAGGTCTCGAAATCTTCAAAATTTCAAATCTTCAAAACACAAAATTCTTAAAATACCAAATCCTCGAAATGTTCAAGTCCTTAAATTCCCAAATCCACAAATCACCAACTCCTCAAAAAAATCGTCAAATTCTGAGACCCCTTAAATCACAAGATCCTCAAATCTTCACAATCAAAAATTCGCAAATCACCAAACCCTCAACATCCGTAAACCAACAAATCGCAAGTTATCAAATCTTAAAAATCCTGAAAAAGTACCAGATCCTTAGAATCCCAAAACCCTTTCAAATCTTCATATTTTCAAAACACCACATTTTGAATTCCTTAAATCCCCAAAGCCCTCAAAATTCGCAAATTAAGTCTTCAAATCCTCGAAACACCACGTCCTCAAAATCCGTAAATATCCAGATGTTCAAATCACCAAATCCTTAAAATCGTCCAAAATTTCTGATCCTCAAATCATTAAATCCCCGAAATATTCAAATTACCATATCCTCAAAATCTTCAAAGCCCCAAATCCTCACAACATAAAATCATTAACATTGTTGGATCCTCAAATTGTCAAATCCTAAAAATCCTCAAATCACCAAATCCTCGAATTACTCATATCCTCCAAATATTCAAATCCTTAAAATCCTCATATCATTAAAATCCGCAAATCAAATCTTTAAATCCCCCAAAACACAAAATCCTCAAATCACCAAATCTTCAAATCCTGAAATCTTCACATTACTAAAATTATCGAAAAGCCAAATCCTCAAATTCTTCAAATCCGCAAAATCCCCAAATCCTCAAAATCCGCAAAACACCACCTCCTCTAAACAAAATCATCAAATTCTTAACTCACCAACGCCCTCAAAATTCGCAATTCAAATCTTCAAATCCTTGAATCACCAAATTCTCAAAATCCGTAAATATCCAGATCTTCAAAACAGCAAATCCGCAAAATCATCAAATTTTCACAACCCTCAAATCAAAATTTTCAAGACCCCCAATCAGCAGCTCATTAAACTCTTCAAATCACCAAATCCTCAAGCTCGTCAAAAATCTCAGATCCTCAAATCATTAAATCCCCAAAATACTGAAAATGCCAAATCTTCAAACTTTTCAAAACGTCAAATCCTTACAACATCAATTCGTTAACATTGTCGGATCCTCAAATTGTCAAATCCTAAAAATCTTCAAATCACCAAATCCTGAAAATTCCCATATCCTCCAAATATTCATAACCTTAAAATTCTCATATCTTTAAAATCCTCAAATCCGCAAATCAAATCTTCAAATCCCCCAAAACACAAAATCCTTAAAATACCTAATTCTCAAATTCTTCAAATCCTCAAAATTCCCGAATCCTCAAAATCCGAAAATAACCAACTCCTGTAAACAAAATCATCAAATCCTCAAATCACCAGTTCCTGAAATCTTCAAAATCCCCAAATCAACAAATCCTAAAAATACTGAAAATCGTAAAATTATCAAATCCTCATATCTTCAAATCACACTCTTCGAAATTCTTAATTCACCAACGCCCTCGAAATTCGCAATTCAAATCTTCAAATCCTCGAATCACCAAATCCTCAAATTACGTAAATATCCAGATATTCAAAACAGCAAATCCACAAAATCATCAAATTCTTAAAACCCTCATATCAAAATTTTCAAGATCCCCAATTAGCAAATCATTAAAATCTTCAAATCACCAAATTCTCAAGATCGTCAAAAATCTCAGATCCTCAAATCATTAAATCCCCAAAATACTCAAATTACCAATTCTTCAAAATCTTCAAAACGCTAAATCCTCACAACATCAAATTGTCAACATTGTCGGATCCTCAAATTGTCAAATTCTAAAAATCCTCAAATCACCAAATCCTCAAAATTTTCATATCCTCCAAATATTCAAATCCTTAAAATTCTCGTATGTTTAAAATCCTCAAATCCGCAAATCAAACCTTAAAATCCTCACAACACAAAATCGTCAAATCACTAAATCTTCAAATACTGAAATCTTCGCATTACTTAAATTGTCCAAAGCCCAAAATGCTCAAAATCTTCAAATGCTCAAAACAGAAAATCATTAAAATACCAAATCCTCAAATTCTTCAAATCTTCAAAATCCTCAAATCACCAACTGCTCCAAACAAAATGATCAAATCCTCAAATCACCTGATCCTCAAACCTTCAAAATCCCCGAATCAGCAATTCCTAAAAATCCTGAAAATCGTCAAATTACCAAATCCTTAGAATCTCCAAAACCTTCAAATCCCCATATCTTCAAATCACACTCTTCGAAATCCCTAAATCCCCATAGCTCTCAAAATTCGCAAATTAAATCTTCAAATCCTCGAAACACCAAATCCTCAAAATTCGTAAATATCCAGATCTACAAAACAGCAAATCCGCAAAATCATCAAATTCTCAAAACCCTCAAATCAAAATTCTTCAAGATCCTTAACGAGCAAATCATCAAAATCTTCAAATAACCAAATCCTCACAAATTCAAATCATCAAGATTGTCGGATCCTCAAATTGTCAAATTCTAAAAATCCTCAAATCAGCAAATCCTCAAAATTTTCATATCCTCCAAATATCCAATTCCTTAAAACACTCATATCTTTAAAATCCTCAAATCCGCAAATCAAATCTTCGAATCCTGAAATCTTCATATTACTCAAATCCTCAAAACCTTAAGCTCACTAAATCTTCAAAATTTCAAATTCTCAAAACACAAAATCCTTAAAATACCAAATCCCCAAAATCCCCAAATCCTCAAAATCCCCAAATCAGCAAATCCTAAAAATCCTGAAAATCGTCAAATTAACAAATCACTTAAATCCGCAAATCAAATCTTTACATCTCCAAAACATAAAATCCTCAAATCACAAAATTTTCAAATCTTGAAATCCTCACATTAGTAAAAT